GAAAGGCGAGGCTGCTGGAGCACCGCCACCGAAGAGTCCACCTGACGCTGACAAAGGGTTAGGGTTTAGGGTTTAGGGCTTAAGGTTTATGGCTCAAGATTTAGGCTTAGAGTTTAGCGTATACGCTTAGGGTTTCTAGGGCTTGGGGTTTAGGAGGGATTTAGGGGATCTCTTTCCCAATAATACAAAAGCAAATGGAAAGGACAATGGGACATGGAATGGCAACTGGGATGATATAAGGGTTCGTAGGGTTCAGGGGCGAAGTAGGTAGATATTACAACCTCAAGTATTACCAAACGCACGTGTTATCTGTAGTAATAATTAAAACCTGATCTTTACACCTTAGAACCTTGGGTTCTGGACCAGGGTTGCGGTTAGAACACTGCGCGAAGGGGACATCAGGTTTTCACAGGCGGGTTCACTTCTGAGCGGGACTTACAATAAGAATTAACGAACTTGGGCAGGTAAGGAGAACCTTTTGTGGAAATACTCAGGACGCAAGAGACCTTGCGTGCTCTAACAAGAAGCCCGTCCTCCGGCCGCAAAAAAAGGCTGGAAATTGATCGTCAGCTGAGCGTGGGAATTGAGAGAACTACATGAAGCTTTCTCCAAATCGGTGGCTCTTCGGAATCCAACGATATATAGGAATTACAGCAGGTTATTCCTGCTCACCAGTAGGCCCAGGAAGCCCAATATCCCTTAATTAGGGAATATACCTTAATTCATAGTAGAGATCCCTAATAATCATGGTTTACGCTATAGTTATTCCTTGATTAACGGATATTGGAATTCCTGGGAGCTTCTGCCAGGGCAATGCTAAAGAACTCCCACGTTTCACGCCCTGGAAGGACAGCCCCTGTGGAAGCTGGAAAGCTCAAAGCGCAGCTACCAAAAATGTCAGTTTTCATGCCAGAACCCCTGCTGTCAAGGACTTGCAAGAACCTTAGGACAAAATAAAAGGTTGTGTACGTGTAGGTACATACAGCCTAAACCCTAAACCTTAAACCCTAATGACATCGCCAAATAAAAAGATATTCTTCCCCATAAAGTACATAAACTGTTGCAAGCTGCCAGACTTTTGGACCTGGCGAATGCCATCCAGCATTAGCTATCTGTTCATGCGTGTTACATTATTCAGCTGTTGTGTTTTCATTTGCAAGCTGTTCTGCCATGGATGCCACTTTGATACGATGCACGCGGCCACAATGACGCAACTTGGCGCAGTAGCCGGAAGCCAAGATTCGGATGATTGCCTCGTTGTCTTGATGGTAGACAATTGCAACGTCATAGCGGCCTTGGCCTTCTTGATCCTATCATCCCTTCTCTTGATCTTCGCGCGGTCTTCCTGAAAACTGAAACTGTTTGTCATGAGTCATGGGCGTTGCATGCTGCTGGCTGTCTTCGGCCAGCTGGTCCTTTGTTGCGATCGAATCGGACTGCATCTTGTGCAATTCCTTCAACCTCATTGCCTTCTTTTACCTGCAACCCTGCCTGACTCTGCACATTGCTGCTCTCTGAAAACATTGCACTACTCATCGCGATAGCCTCTGCTTCAGGTGTGCTACGGGCTACAGACTGTTGCTTACGAGAGTTCCAGTACACCGGAAACTCTAATTCCTAAACTCATGGCTTAGGCCGCCCACCTACTAGGTGGGCGGCGCCTATGCCCCTTCGACCTCGATGGCGCAGAGTGACATACCTGGTCCTGCCTCCGCACAGCCACGGGCACGGTAGCACCCATAAGAGGCCTGGTACCGGACCTCCATGAGACCTATAAGGTTAAACCCCGTCTTTCTTCAAATGCCCAAACCCTTTCTGAGCCACCCCCCTTCCCTGAGGCTTCTTAAACTCACTGGACTGGAAAGAAACGGGACCGCCAGGCCCACCAGGACCTCCCAACAGCCTCCCGCCTTTCAAGCTTCAGGGCAATGTCAGGGGCTTCCCAAGCCTCCTCCAGGGATCAATCGGAATTTTCTGGGGTATAGGTCTGGGTGGCCCCTGGGACGGCGTGGGGTGGGTCAAGGCCAAAGCAGCAGGTCGCATGGCACGACACGCTCTAGGCGGCTCTGTGGCATGACTATCTCTGCTTCAGCACTATATCACGGCAAGCCCTAAACCCTAATCCCTGATCCCTCATCCCCCAACTTAGGGCTAACACTTCCAAAGCGGGTTGAACCCTAGGGCTCCTAGGGATTTAGGGTTTAAGGGGGTTTAGGGTTAAGGTTTGGGGTTTAGGGTTTAGGTTTGGGGTTTAGGGTTTAGGTTTAGGGACCCAGGTATACACATAATGCCTACATTGTGCCCTAAAGTCTGCAAAAGATGTCTACATTGGGCTATTTGGATCCTTAAGGTGGGGTTGAAAGTCCACGGTTTGTACAGACGCCTATAACTTTCAAGCCCCCTGATGAACTTGTATCCCAAGAGGACAATGCTGTTTTTTTTTTCAGTACCTCTGTGCGGAAAGTATGGGCATGACATAACCGTCATCTGCCCCTATATCCCAGCAAAGCCTCTACGACTCTACATATTTCACGGGCATGGCAGTGTAAACCTCCACCCACCCCTGACTGCTGCATCATCTTGAATACACCTACGTACTAGTAGCACCCAAACAAACAATACAACAAGCCCCGGAATCCGTCACTCAAGCTACATCTACATAATCCTTGCACCCCTCAGACAACCCCCCCTTCCCCTTCACTTCACACTTAGAACACAGGCACCTGGACTATCATAGGCCCCGAACCCTTAACATTTACATTGAATTGAGCCAGCGGCCCTAGAACCCGAAACATGAACTTGTAAACCCTGAAACCAAAACCCGAAACCTCACATAAAAACTGAAGCCCTGAATGCCAAAACCTACGTCCTAAATCTTAAAAGCCTTACGTACCCCCTAAACTGCGTAAAGCCCTTCGAGCTCCCAAGTGCCTGTAGCTGCGCCGCCACCAAAGGGTGAACTTGCAGCACCCCCGCCGAACAGGCCTCCTCCTCATGCGGAACATGCTTTCGGGTTTTTCAGAATTTCCCTAAGATACAACATTGCCTGAAGAACTCAGGCTGTGTGGAATTTGGGCCCAAAGTCCTTTAAACATGAATCCTTAGAGCCTTCCGGTTTAGTTTCTTGACTTCAGGCTACGGTTTTTATGGTTTAGGGGTTTTAGGGTTTAGCTTCTTCAGGGTTTCATGATTGATGTCTAGCCTCAGGGATAGATTTGTGGGATTCAAGAGGTAACGGCTGCGGACTAAGGGTTCAACCATAACCCTAAGGGTCCAAGGACCCAAGTACTCATAGGGTTTGAGGGCCCAAATACTATAATATGAATGCATAATCCAAACCATACACACTGCCATAGCCTTGCAAAGGCCGACAACCACGAACCAATCCATGACATTCCCCAAGGACCCAAATAAAAGGGCTTTAGGGCCCACATACCATTGATATTATAGTATTTGGGCCCTAAAACCCTATTATTTGGGTCCGTGGACCCTTAGGTATTGAAGCTTTACCCTATTTGCGCGGGGCGTTTGTGGCATCTAGCAGGTTGCTGCGGGGCCTATTCAGTGCACGTTGGGAGATTGCTTCACTCAGTGATTTTTGTACAAAGAAATGCTTCCCAATAAAACCCAAAAGACTCTAATCTATGTTCTGGGAACTCTAAAGAAGGACCCATCCCTAAACGCTAAACCCCAAAAAAGTTCAGGCCCTGCAACCCTAAGCCCTAAACCCTAAACCGCCTTCCAGTATGCAGTTCAATCCCAAGTTGCCTGAGCTGACGCCACCCCCAAAGGGGGATGCTGCTGCGCCACCACCGAAAAGTCCTCCTGTCATGGAATCTATGAGTCTGTGTTGGTATTGCGTATGGCCCTAAGGAATCATAGTTTGAGGATTTGGGGCCCTAAGACTATACTATAAAAGGCTTTCAGCTATTTTGAGCCGTAGGGTTCCACTACTTGTAACAGCCGCCTAAGCCTACGGGTCATTTCGTGGAATTTCATATCTGTTTTTGTGGAGCCTACTGTGTATATGTGGGTAAGGGTCTGAAACTGATCGGTTGACATTCCAGGACCCGCCTAAATTCTGAGCTCCAAACATCAAGGGTTCCAGGGCCGTACACCTTTGGTCGTAACCCCCCCCAAATTCCCCAATATGGCCCTAATATTGCCTTTATATGAGCCAATCTAGTCCCCTAGATTCTTTTGAGAGGGCCCCAAAACCCAAGGGTTCAACCCTGGGTACAAGCCTGCCCCAGAATCTGAACCCTGAAACCCTAAACCCTGAAACCCTTGAAAGCAATGTGGGGTAATTTGCCCACTTGAGCCTGGGCTGGCTGCGGATCCGAAAGGGGATCCTGCTGCTCCGCCCAAGAGCCCTCCTCTTCCCGACTCAGTTCCGTACTGCTGGCCGCTCTCAAAGAAAGTGCGGGTATTTCGCAATGCAACATCACCGACGGAAAGGTTTGAGCCACTGTAGATATCAATCTCGGCCGTGCCAAGGTTTGCATGCAGGTCAGAGATCTGCAATACCGAACGTAGCAGCGCTTTTGCTGTGAGAAAAACCTGGGTTTAGGGATTAGGGTTTAGGGATAAGGGTTTAGCACTTACTGTATGGTTTAGGGATTAGGGTTCAGGGATGTAATCTTAATCTTGGGGCCTTCATATGTAAAGCCCTCAAGACCCATCAAGGCCCATAGTCAGGATCCAAACAACAGCTAAGGTCCCATGCTCAGGATCTGCGACTAGAACTTAACCCCCAAAATCCTAAATCTGAGATTCGACGACCTGTAACCCTACAGACCATAGACACCCTGTAAACCTGATAAACTGTGTAGACCCTGACCCCTAAGCCCCCCCAAACTCCATAATGCTGGGCTTAAATAATTACCTATATGAATGTTCTAGATTCCCTAAACCCTAGACCCCTTAAATTAAAGCAGGACTCAACGTGACGCCCCCCGCCCTAAACCCTCAACACTGAACTCTAAACCCTATCCGTGTGCCTGACGCCCCGCCGCCAAAGGGCGAAGCGGCTGGGGCGCCGCCGAACAGGCCGCCTTCAAAGGTCGGTTTCAAGGTTTAGGGGTTTAGCTGGGTGTATATGGTTTACAGTTTACAGGGCCCATAATATTATGGAGATTAGAATTTTGAGCTCAGGGTTTAGGGGTTTAGGGTTTCGAACCTTCTGAAAACCCTTAAACCCTAAACCCTAAACCCTGAACTCTAAATTTTAACCTTCCCGGCCTCCCGTGCTCCCGGGCGCAGCAGTCAGACCCCCGCCGCCCTGAGCTTTGATCTCAGGCTCAGGCTGCCTCCAGTAGGGAGATGTTAAGGTTTAGTTTAGGGTTTAGGGTCTGGGATTTAGGGTTTAGGGGTTTGGAGTTTTGGGGCTTATAGTCTAGGGGTTTTGGGTTTAGGGGTTTAGGGGTTTAGGATCTAAGGTTCAAGGTTTAGGGTTTTGGATACAGGGTTTAAGGTTTAGGGTTTGGGATTTCAGGTTCAAGGTTTAGGGTTTAAGATTTAGGGTTTAGGATTCAGGGTTAGGATTTGGGGTTTAAGGTTTAGGCTTTAGGATGTAGGGTAGGGAGGGGCCCCTGAAATTTGGTACAGGTTTGGGGCTTTGGGCTTGGGACTTTGGGGATTTTGGAAACTTAGGGTGATGCCTTGGGATTTGCAATGGGATTCCAGGGAATCCTACTAAGAATTGTAGACCCCAAACCCTACACCCTAAACCCTGAACCCTAAACTACCAAGAATTGTAGAACAAATTGGGAGAAACTCCAAAGCCCGCCGCTTTCGGGCTGAGAACGGTAGGAGATAGCCTCAGGTGTTGATGTGTATGCCCGTGGCCCTAAACCCTAAACCCTAAAACCCTAAACCTGAACCCTAAACCCTTTAGATGTAGGGGTGTGGGATTGGGGGGGTGGTTGAGCTTAGAGGCTTGGTGCTTTAGATAGAGCCTGAGGATTAGGTGGTATCACCCAAAATACTTCACCCTGAAGAGTCATGATGTCAGTGGTGAAAGTGATTAACAAGAACGACTCTGAATGATAGGGAGGGCGGTTCTCCTGACACGGCGAGAGAGGAGGAAAAGATTCTCCCGGACTGTCTGCCAATAAAGAAAGGCAGGTTTAGAGCAACAGAGAGAGAGAGAGAGAGAGAGAGAGAGAGCATACTTGCGCACAGTGTCGTTGCAACATGTTTAGGCCGTGAGCATGCTGCCTGCGAATCGGGCGGCATCTCAAGCTGGATGGTGCCTAATATGTATGTCGCTTACACGCAGTGACCATGCACCGCCCTATCTTTCTGGATGTCTGCATCCATGTATGTTTGTATATACTAGACTTCAATTCTTAGCCCACATTACTCTAGGGAGAAAAAAGGATCCTTTTTACATAAATATAAGGAATCCCATACCCAAAAAAGTATAAAGGATCCCTAACATTGATCCAGACAAAACCCTTGGCATAGATCCCCTCCCTAAACCCTAAACCCTAAACCCTGCTTGGAGGCCCATGGGACTAGTAAATACTTGTATATAACTGGGATTATAACCCTACTTATAATTGGGGTAACCCCTATAAAACCATTTAAGGTCCAAGATTTTGCCCAGCTATTAGCTGCGGAGCCGCCCGTCCTCCCGCAGTTTCATACATACCCCCTTCTCGGTGCCTATCCCTAAGGGTCCAAGTGCCAAATAATTAGGTACTTGGGCTTTGGGGAATAGTAATTATAGTATAGGTTTTGGGTAAGTATTTGATTATAAGATACTTGGACCCTTAGGGTATTGTTTCATGCCCCGTTGTTACGGACGTTTTGTTCTCCCGTGCCTTGAGACACAATTTTGACCCGATGCGGTACATCGATGTCTGGATTTCTGCTGCAGACCTGTAAATTTCCAAATCCAAAATCCTGTGCCTGATGTAAGCCTACTTATTGCTGCTGACACGCAGACGCATCAATTGCAGATTCCTATAGACTATGAAGAAAGACTCATAGGACCAGTAACACATTCCTGTGCAAGTTTCATATATGACTTGCTTGTTGTAACCCCACTTGCTGCCTGCCATAGTACAGCCCCTAAGACTTTCCTCCATATGTATACTTCAAGTGATGCTCCGCATAAATGCATTTAGGGTTCACCATAGCCACAGGATAACAGTTGTAAGCGTTTCATCTACTGCCACATGAACTGGCTCCTGGCTTGTTGGGTTCCCAAGTCGAACAAACTTCTGCAGTTAACTTGATGAAGCCAAGCTAAGCACAGCGCTTGGCCAAATTTCATACGGTTGTGATACATACATGGTAGTTTCCCAAAATAGGGGAACCCCAATATAGACCCCAGAATACTATAACCCTTATTATGGGGACCCCCAAAAAATACACCGAATGTTGGGAAACCCCACATGAACCCATGCAGGATGTTCTCCATCAGCAGCTACGCCAATGATGGTGGTTGGAAGCTGAAGCCGTCACCGGGAACTGCTCTGAAAGACAGTATGCCCCCAATGCCAAGCGCGGTCCGAGATGCACGTTGTACTTCTTGCCTTGCACAAAGGGCTTATCATTTAGGGTTTAAGGGTTAGGGTTTAGGGGTTATAGGGCAAAAGGATCTTCGGAACGATGACCTTAAGGGCTCAGAGCTTGGGGCCGAGGTTCAGGTGGTAAAGCCACGAAAACTCCCCGCGACTGCACTGCCTACACTCACGACCACCCAGACTGACCTCTGAACTGCTACACTCAACGGGGCTTACCCTGCTTCGATCAACCCAGCAAATGACTCACTTCCAGGGCTAAGAAAGGGAATCTCAGAATCGGGGTACCCCTTACAAAAGATTACGTACGGTTTGGATTCAGGGTTGAAATTAGAGTTTAAGGTATGGGGATTGGCACAATGGGGAGTATTCTTAGGCCCCTGAAATTCTGGGGTTTACGAACACAGTGTAGGGGTCCCCCACTTCCACGGGGATGCCAGAGGGAAACTGTCGTCTTTGATGCGTTGCAGGTATCACTGCTGGCAACATGCAGGCGAACTCCAAGAACAGATGGAGTCTGTAGGCACTGTTACTGGTGGTGAGCAAGGAACGAAGGAAAAATCCATTCCTCCATGCCCTACTGACCACCAGGAGACATGATTCAAATTTAGGAGTTCTGGGCGGAGCGCGAGGTCGCTCGCAAGCAAGTGAAGCCAGTATGCCTAAGGAACTATGATGGTGTAACGGCTTACACTACCGTAGTTGAATCTTTTAACCTGACTCTCCACCTAAACCCTATAACCCCTTAACCTGAGAAATTGCTGCTGTGCTGCAGATCTTGAGGTACATCATGTGCTCCTGGCCCACGTACTTTCCCATGAGAGCATCGATCTCATTCCTAAGCTTTCCAGCTTCAGGTTTAAGGTTGAGGGTTTACTTGGAGGCCCAGGGGACTTAGTAAATACTTATAACTGGGCTTATAACCCTACTTATAATTGGGGTAGCCCCTATAAGCCCATTTAAAGGGGTTATAAGTAGGGTTATAAGTCCAGTAAAAAAATAGTTACTAAGTTTTATGTCCCTCCAAGTAGGGTTCAGGACTTGGGGCTTGGGGCGTAAGGCTCCTCAACCGAATCCTCCTTTGTTAGCCTAAGCCCCTCTGAACTCCAGGTCCCTAATTCTGGAAACTCCGAAGTTTAAATGCCTAAGCCGCTCAGCTTCAAAAGCCCTTAAGAACCCAAAACCTAGGGGTTATGGGGTTATGATATAGGGATAACGGTCAAGAAAATGGAAACTACTTTATAGGGTTATATAGGGAATATAGGGCTTGATACAGGGGTTCTATAGGGCTATATAGGGATAGTGGAAAAGAGAATGGAAACTACTATAATGGGGTTATATCGGACTTAGGGCATTAACCCCCTAGGTTCCCCCCTGTACATACCATGCCTCCACATGAGCTACAGTCTAAACTCCTAGTATTCCCCTAAGTATCCCCCATAAGTGTCCCCAATATAATCCCCTAAACCCTAAACCCTAATCCCTAAAACCTAATCCCTAAACCCTAATCCCTAAACCCATTTCCCTCAACCCTAATCCCTCAACCCTAGTCCCTAAACCCTAATCCCTAAACCCTAATCCCTAAACCCTAAACCCTATTCAGACTCTAGCCTCGTCATCCTGGAGCTTCTTCTGAATTTTGGCGGCCCCAAGTGTGATGTTTAGGGGTTAAGGGTTTAGGGTGCTCCCATTTGCGTGCCGCGTCGTGCTTTGCAGGGTCGAGTACGGGTGTGTTTACGGTTTAAGGTTTAGGGTTTAGGGTGTTCCCTGTTGCGAGTCGCGTCGTGTGTTGCAGGGTCAACTACAGGTTTGGGGTTAGCGTAGCCCATTTGTTTAGGGTTTAAGGTTTAGGGTTTAGGGCATTCCCTAGAGATCCAAATAGCCCAATGTAGGTACTATCTACAGATTTTACATAGGCATTAATGGGATTGATGGAGTATGCATGCGCAGCCTACAACTGATGCGAATGTTGGCTCTGTGAGGGTTCAGGTGTCCAACGTTTCATAATGTTTCATACAAGGCTCCTGAGATCCACGGTCCCTGAATGCGAAAACGTACGAAGCCACAGACCATGTGGAATTTAATTGCCCCTCGGGCTGTTTTTGGGCCCCAACGTCTATAAATGATTTCTACCTGGACCTCCCAAACGCCCAGAGTAATAGCCTTGAACCCCATAAATGCTATGAATTATGGGTATTTGGAAGGTCTACGTACCTACTCTGGGCCATTTGCGCACATAGAGTTGCTGTTTAGGGTGTCCCTAAACCCTAAACCCCTAAACCTTAAACCACTAAACCCCTAAACCCTAGAACCCTAAACTCCTAAACTCTAAACTATATAGGGTCTAGGGTTTAGGGTGGAGGGTCTGGTATGCTGAGGCAACCTTGTGGCAGCTCGGAGTCAAAAAGTGGGCAAATGTGGGGCCTGAAAACTTAAACTAGGGTTTAGGGTTTATAGGGCTTAGGGTTTAGGGTTTGTAGGGCTTATGGGGTTGAGGGTTTGGGCTCCCCGCTATACTCATTGGAAGGGTTGTGACGGGAAAAGATTAGTGACTTTCTACGCTTCGACATTAGGTGAAAAGGCGGAAGAATAAACATAGCAAGTCGGCAACCCATTGAAAGTTCTTGGTTTCGTATCTTCACAAGTACTGAAAGTCCTGGCTTCTGTAGGGATTCCCAGGCACCACCATGTCCTGTGACCCTTATTGCAGAGAACCAGCCCTAATACTCATCTGACGCAACAAGAACAATAGCTTCAACACACTAACATTGATATAGGCTAAGTATCAATCCCTAAGGGTCCAAGAACCCACTAAAACCCTATTACTTGGGACCTATGTACCCCTATATAGTCCCCATATATCCCTATGTATCCCCCTATAACCCCTTTAAAGGGACCCTGTTATTTAGGTCCCTGGACCCTTAGGGAATGCAATTCGCCTCAGAATTCTCGAGCCGCGGGTTTCCTATCCCTTCTCGGTTGCCAAAAGCTCCAGAAAACAGCTGAACTCCCTGCAACCTCAATTCAGTACTGTTGATGGATGAAAATCTTGCACCACGTAGGGGCCCTAAATTACTGTAATTCCTAGGACTTTAGGGACTTACATCGACAGTATCATTTTATTACGTGGCACTTAGGACCCCTAGATAAGGATTAACCCTTGGGTACGCATAATAGGAGCATAAGGGAAACCCAAAGGGTTAAGGATCTTAGGCCAAGCTAAGTCCCAAGGAGTTTATGTCATGCCGTCCCATACTGGCTCCTACATCCTGACACTCCATACTGCAAGTCACACACGCGCATACAATCCCAAACCACGAGTTCCACTGAACCGCTTGAAGCAAGTTTCTGTGTTTACTAGGCCAAAACAGGTTACACTTCCTCATTCTAGTAGAGCCCCCAAAATCTGTAGTATACCTAGGTACTGACTGAGTAAGGCAAGCAACTCTAACCCAACTCGTTCTGTAAGACAAGTATCACTTTGCTGGGATTGTGCTGCTGGTAGATCTTTACCATCCGCTCCCTGTAGGCCTGAGGTTTAGGGTTTAGGCGGAATTGGCAGGAAAGGAATTTTTAGGGGCCGAATGCTGCAGCGACCTGTACCTATATCAGGACACCATACAGGCCACCGTTCACGCGTAGGGTGCAGGCTTAGCGCTTAGGAAAAATGGGCGGAAGAGCACAAGTCACACATAAAAGGGGGCTGGATAGCAGCACAGATACTAGGTTCCCCAGTAACCCCTTAATAATAAGGGTACCCTTTTTCCTACTATTCAGCTTTAATGAGGAGATCCCCAAATCAAAAGGGGAAAAGAATACTGGGGTACCTAGGATAACGTGTGGCCAGAGAACACAACAGGACAGGACACGGAGGATGGTCCCAAGGCCAAATAGCGGGCAGTCAAGGTCTCACCCTCAGGGTCCAAGTACCTAATAGTCATATACTTCCCCCAAACCTGTACTATAATTATTGTTACCCAAACCCCAAGTACCTGAATATTGGGCACTTAGACCCTTAGGGTTTAGGGTGGGCATCTGTAACTATGATCTCCGCAGAGAAATTTTGCTACGAGGAAGATGCAAGGTAATCCTCTACAGTCCCTAAGGGTCCAAGAACCCAAATAGAAGGTTTGAGGGCCCAAATACTACTATATTAATGATATTTGGGCCCTGAAACCCATTTGGGTCCTTGGACCCTTAGGGAGTCAGAGTAAGCTTGAATTAGGCTCCCATTGGAGATGAGCTGGCGAACCACCTCATCTCTCTCCTCATACAAATCCTTGGCAGAAATATTGCAGCGATCTCCTCCACCAGCTAAACACCCTAAGCTGACTTATTGCTCCTGTTACTATTACGAATTACTCTTACTCTTACTATTACTATTACTATTACTGTTACTATTACTATTACTATTATTACAACTACTGTTACTATTATTACCATTACCGTTACTGTTATTATCACTGCCACCCCTTGAGTTCCTGCAAGTGGCCTAGCGCAGACTCTTCCTAAAGGCGCCCAACTCCCTTGGCCCCTTCCGCCCATGGGAAAGCGGGGCCGAGTGGCCACTACAGCCACATCATTAATTCCCTCCCCACCTCGCCTAATATAAAATACTCCCCATTGTGGTATACTATGGTATGTTGGGAGTACTTAATTTGTTGAGGGTGAGGGGGTCTAATATTATGGGGAGGGGATTACTCTCAAAACAATCCCATGTAGCTACATACCCTCAACCCTAAAGCCTAAACCCTGTATCCCGAAGCCCCTACCTTGACAGCCCCAATTCAGTATCTACGGAGTCCTGGACTCTACGGGTCCTGGACCGGAGATTGAAGAGGGTGGATGAATGAGATCATGCAATCTGGGGACCACAATTTAGGCCCCGAGTTTAGGGTTTCAGGTTCAGGGTTTAGGGTTGAGGCATGCTGGGAAAGCCCGAAGTCCCCCGAACCCAAAATCAATTAACCTTCGACCACTTGTCCACGGTGCTGTAGTGGAGTATTTAAGCAGAACAGGGCTTCGGCGCGTTTATCTTGCAATTCTAAGAATATGTTGAGCGAATAATGTCGGAAATTCTGCAGAATTCCACACCCAACACCTTCCTAGGGGTCCAAGGACCCAAATAATAGGGTTCTACTGCCAAAATACGTTTAATTGTATAGTGCTTTGGCCCTCAAACCCTATTATTTGGGTCCTTGGACCCTTAGGGCCCTCTAGGCAAGTAGAACATGCCAGTTTGCGGTTTCATTGTCCGCTATCTTCTCCATTTGGTTCTGAATTAATGTTACATAATATAAAGATATACATATCTATATACATATACATATATATATATACATATACATATATATATATATACATATACATATATACATATATACACATTATATATATATATATATTCATTTATAGGGTTTAGGGTTTCAGTCTTTCATTCTACCCTGCCTGCTTCACATCCACCGATCCGGCACTCGCCGCCGGGGCCCCGAATAAGCCGCCTCCGCCTAGTTTGGGGGGTATTGGGGACTGAGGGAGACCTAGACCTCCCACATACCCACAATAAGAATGAGACTAGGGTTTAGGGTTTAGGGTTTAGTACTTGGGGACGGAGGGAGACCTAGACCTCCCAAATACCCACAATAAGAATGAGACTAGGGTTTAGGGTTTAGGGTTTAGGGTTTAAGAATGACCTGAACCCCAAAAGTAGGTAAAATAACAGCCCCAAACCCATTCATATAGCCCAAAAGGCCATTGTTCTACATACTTTTGGGGTTCAGGGAGTATCCCAATTATTATTTCATCTTTACTCTTCTTCTAAATATTTTTTTTCATCAT